TATATATATTTTTTTAAAATATTGAGACAATTCTGAAATCCTATGGCCAACAGCCAATGCACAGAAACCTCCATGCTGTCAATTAGGAGTTTCCTCACCTTGCTAGCAAAGCTGCTTTATTATACACACCTAACATTAATATATGAAAAACAAAATGGCCCTTGGGAGAACGTGTACAATCTGTTTCATTTACATTTTCATGCCCTTCCAACCTGGACCAAGTGGCTCCATCTGCTTCTGTCCCTTTTTGTGAGACCTGTAAGCATTTCACCTTTCTATGTCATGTGCATAGCCTAAATTTGCTGTTCTCCAATGTCCAAGATAAGGACATGAGGTTGCTAACCATATCAAAAGTCTCCCTTACCTAAGGAATCAGGAAACCAAACATGAACTTCCCTTTTCTTTATCACCTTGATGTAAATGGATCTAAATAGTGTAACTTCTAGAAATCTTTCTGAAAATGTAGCCTTCAGGAGTTTTGGGATTAGCTGGCCTGCTATCTCTTTTTCCCACTCTTTTTTTGTTGCTGTTAGTTTTGTTATTTTTTTTTTTAATAGGGCCTTCTTTCTAGAGGGTTACGGAGATCATGTTGGCAGCATTTGGCTTCAATGCATACACAGTACCCATTTACAAGCATGGGTTTGCATTTGTTGTCACATAGCTCAGTTGCATGTGCCAAATTTTTATCAAAATAAACCTTCAACAAACACATCTGATTGCGTCTGGCTAGGCAGATGGTTCTTTGACCCTCATCTGACAAGAGAACATTTGTAACACTGTAGAGCTTCCAGCAACTAACCAGCTTCACACATGAGCCTCCCAACTGGGGCCTGATTTCTCTACTCTTCATCTTGTTTCCTTTTCTACAGCATACCAGAATAAACTACCTTTCTTGACTTTAAGTAACTAGAGTGGTTACTGGTCCCCCCCCCCCAAGAACAATTCATACAAACACAAACAGCCTCTATCACTAACTGATAAACTACTCATTATACAACAATTTGCATTTCTGACAAATGTTTAAAAAATCTGACTCCTTTGTTCAATAACAACATATGTCTGGCATTTACATAACATTTACGTAAACTCCTAGGTGAAAGCAACATTGGTATTGTCAAGGTTATGTGTCAACTTGTTTAGACCATGACTCTTAGTGGTTTGGCACTTTTACAATGATTTCATCACCCTCCTTTTCCACTTAGTGTCAATTTTTGCACAATGACTTGGTCTTTAAAACTTAGCTGTTTCGTGAGTGAGTGTTGATGAATGTATGTCTTACATATTTTGTTTTCAGCTGAAAAACTAAGGTAATTCCCTTAGTATTTAATCCTTTAAGGGCAAAAGAAAATGTTTCCAAAGCTTCTTTGGAGGTAGATTATACTTATCTGTAATTCTCATGCCTTCATCCCATTGACAATGAAGCCTCAGATAGCTGAGATATATTATGTAATCAGAGAGACTAGTCACAAGAAATGAGCCTAACGCTGTGATTGAAAATTCTGTCTACAAACCAGAATTTTAGCTTCAAATAATAATTGGTGGCATGATTTTGGTCATGTACCTTATAAGTCTTCCCTTTCCTTACTGCATAAACAACAATAGAATAAAACTACAGGCACTTCTTCCACAAGACACTGTCATTCTTTTCTTTTCCCCAAGCTAACATCTCCTCAGGGAAATAGTTGGCAAAATGTTTTAGAATTTTTTCTACCTAAAAGAACCTACTTGATTCTAAACTATGAAATGTCTGCATTAGTTAAAATTACAATAACCAAAACACAAAGAACTGATGTAGTTTTAACTGAATTCTGTGTTAAAGACCAAATAAAATTATTTCTCCTCTGTATTTTAATAGGAATTTCAAAGAATCAAACCTCTTGTTAACTATTCATATAAATGGTTACCTTTTATTGCTTCAAAAGCTTCCTAGGTAACAATTTTTGTGTTTTTTATTAATACCAAGAGTATCTGAAAACATTTTCCCATTAATTTCCAGTTGTAGAGCATGCCTCTTTTTACAGCATCTACCACATCAAATTTCTTTCTTTGAGCAGTTAAAGATCTGTTTACATCAGATAAAGCCATAACCTACTTCCACACTGAGTCAGAGAAGCCACATTTTCTGTAACACTAGCTAACTGACATTTTTATTCAGGTCAGACTCTTCTCCCTACATATCTTTCTTGTGGTCTTCCTAGCTCAAGCGTTTTTCTTCTCCCTTTCTCTCTTTTGTTCTGTCTCTGTGCCCTTCCCTCTCTTATAGCCCAGTATTCTTTCTTGTTCATAGGAGGTGACAGAGTACCAAACTATAGCACATAGTAAAGTGGGCAGAGCTACCATCAGCCATTACCTGGTGAGATCCAGAAGGCAGGCTCTTTACTAGACCCTCTGTGTTGGAGGGAGACTTCCTTGGAGCCTGCTTAATCGGTGACAGACTCTCTGATGTGTTGCAGCTGAAGAGTTGGCAATTTGAAGAGTAAATGTAAAAAAAAATAAATAAATAAAATAAATGGGAAAAAAATATAAAAATGCAAGTGATGGCAAGATGAAGCAGATGTATAAAAACAAAAGACAGCATAACAATGGGTATCAAAACATCCACATACCTTAAAACTATTTTCTATCTCTGACACTAACTGATATGTCTAAGACAATGAACGTTTTCAGGAGGCACAGAAACCAGTGTGGTATAAAAGCACAACTCTTATCCCTTTTCAGCAATAACAATACCCACTGAAAGGGATTCTGGTAATAGTGTACATTCGTCCCTTTGCTGCTTTGTTGTTTCTGCCTGCTATTAGCACTATTTTAGGATACATGATTAAATATACCTTCTTACTGTATCCTCTATTACGGAGGTTTTGATTCAATGGTATATAGCAACATAGCTTTTTAATAGCTTACTGGCAATTCACCTTTGTAATCATCAAAGGCAAACTTCTTCTGAATACATTCTCAAAATAACAGATATAGTATCTGCTCATTTCATCCTCTCTTTTCCCTAGCTCCCTACATATTTTGGGTTCCACATGAGACCACAACCACACCAAAGAAAATTTAGGAAGCCCTACGCATGATGGGAACACTAAGGAAGCCCACTCCTACGGGCTTAACATTTTCAGGGGCATCGAAGTCTTTAATAAGCATGAACTCATCTATAAATCAGTGAAACTGAATGCTAGGAGATAACTGATTGGGGATTCCTTATTGTGATGTTTCATTGTTGTTGATTGCCTTCAAGTTGAGCATGACTCATAGCAACCCTATGATCAAAAGGCCTGAAGCCCCTCTACAACTATCGATATTTATCAAAGTGCATAGAGTTTCCAGAGGCGTGTTGTTTAGGAAGTGAATGCCATTAGTACAGCTTAAATATTTTATGATAGCATGTTTTTAAAACTTAGGGATTTGAAGTGTCAGAACATATTTGAAATACTAAAGTACATGTATTCTTTAAACTGTGTGACTATAAAATGGGAGGTTATATACCCAGAACCAAATGGTTTGATTATTTCAATACAGCCAGGGTCTCAATAATAAATCAAACAAAAAAGGAAACCAAGGAATGAAAAAAGAAAATTAAACACACACATACAAAGTTCACATAAAGAACATATATTTATGAATGATCATAAAGACTCTATATAACCTGAGCACTTAATTTCATCAGGTTGATGTATACTCAACATCTTTCAAATACAAACACAGAACATATCTCTGAACAACCTTAAGAGCTGTAGAGTTAGCTCAGAGCTAGCTGGTTAACTGTCAACAAGGGAGATGGACTGAGAACGCACATATGATTATTAACTGCAACAGGCAATGTGATTAGTTACCATGTGCCTAGTGGGAGTGGATGAGGAGACCCAGCTCTGTTAAAGTCCCAATTGTTGTCTATGTCAGCTTTTCTTAAGAGGTGGAAGATAAGCAGGACCTGATCCTGGCACACCAAGGTGGAAAAGGCAGGGAAGGGGGAAAAAAACCAAAGTAAGATGAAAAGCAGCATTCCTGATGCCATGCAAGATTTTAAGGAACACGTTTCTGTCTCTTCAAAAGCACAAAAGCAAGGATTACAGAGAATGAACAGCACACCACCACCCTGGATTAGTCTCCTATTGAAAACTAATAATTCCATTACAGGCTCATCATAAAGCACTCACCATACATAGGGGAAGACACAGTGAGCAGAAGAGAAACATTCCAAGCAAGTAACATTTGAATTGAATTATCAAGCTCATTAAAACACAGCATGGCTGAAAACTTCAGAGCAGCAAGGCCCATAGAGAGAGCTTCCCACCATCCACCAGCAAGAAAGTTCAGGGCATGCAGCCTTCGTCAATCACTGCCCCTTCAGGATGGTTAAGGTTAGACACATGCACGCGTGAACTGCTTGTGTTACATTAACTGAGTCCAGCCTTCACTCCCAGTCTTACCACTCAAGTTCTTAACAGTTTATATGGGATTATCTTTGAAGCGGAAGTGGGGAAAAGAGGTGTTCTTTCAATGAAACACGCAGCCCATGTTCATATGTGTTCTTTTGGAGAAGCCAGAGACAAAGGAGGAGTCTATTTTCTTCATTTCTAGCATATTTTCATGTTCAACTCTTCTTATCCCAGCTTGGATAAATCCAGTCATGCATTTAAGGATGCTCGAAGCAACACAACTGCTTGAGGTGAAGCTGGAAGGGTCTACCCCAAAAGAAAAGTCTCTACATCATTACCCTGAGCAGGAGCATGTTAACAGCACAATTTCTTCTGTTTCTGTACATTTTTATATTTGACTAAAAGTTTAGAAATCTTACTGGGTTTTCATCCAATTATTTGTACACATTTTGTTTTGGAATTTTAACTCTAATTGATTAATGTAGTTCAGGAATTAAAATATCTGATTAATCCCTTATTATATATTACAGTTCCCTTTAGCAAACTTATCTATTTATTCAGTTTTTTACTTTCTTCTCCCTCCTTATCTCTGATAACTACCCAAGAATGACTAAATTTGAGTATCATTTCTTCTGGATTAGAAAACATTTACCAAATTGAAAAGAACCTTTTGATGTTACTGCCAATACATTCAAATTAACTCTTAAGTTAGGTAAGGGATGCGACTTACTAGTACTACCTGCAGAGTGGACGGCACTGAAATACGGTGCCCAGGCCGCTGGGAAACAAGCCCACAATGAAAACTGATGACCTGGGAACAATATCATTTCCACACTGAATAACCATTTCTGCTTGCCTGTGTCAGAATACATCGTCGGAAGACCACCCAGTCTTGGCATGAGAGCAAACAGTATTATTCATAGTTCTTTTCCATTAACAAACAAACAAACAAAAAACTAAGCATCTTTTTAAGTAAAATTAACTCCGATTCCTTCCCTCCACCCACCCCTTGAAAAACCCTGTCTCTTACCCAGTGTAGTCCCGTTTGGAGTTCTTCCTTCTGTGGAGAACAGCCAGAATCATGCTGATGAGCAGTGTGAGACCTAGGACCACAGCAGAAACTATACCTACCACCACCCAAACTGGAAACATGGGCATGCTCTCTAGAGAAAAAGAACACAACAGTTTTAAGGAACAATACTACAGAGAAAAGAAACAAAATTTTCTTCAACTACTAAATGCCTCCCATTTCTGGTTACTATACCTTCTCCTAGTATCCAAATTAGAAAATCCTAGTTTGTAACTGAAAGGATACAAATATCAGCCAGGAAGGAATGAACTAGAGAACTAAGCATGCTATACACATAATCTCTCAAGTATGGATTGAACCGTGTCTTCCCCCAAACCGGTACTGAAGTCTAGTCTCAGTAACTATGGATGTTACCCTGTTTGCAAATCAAGTTTTTCTTCTATTGTATCATTGCAGTTGTATCAGACTAGGGTGAATCCTAAATTTAATCATTTCTGAGTTATAAAAAGTGCAATGCAGATACAGAGACACACTTGGGGTGGATGGAGACAGACAAAAAAAAGAATGTCAAGGAACTCTAACAAAGGAGCCCACCAACACAGAAGAACCCTCCCTAGAGTCAATCAAGACCTCTATTTGAAGTTCTAACCTCAAAAATTGTGAGACAATAAATCAACGTTCTTTAAAGCTACCCACTTGTGGAGTTTTTCACTTATGGTAGGTAGCACTAGGTGGATGCTGCTGCTACATGCCGCTGGCTGAATTCGTCAGAACTGACGACTCATAGCTGACCCTCCAGTAGGTTTTCAGAGGCTGCAAACCTCATGAGAGGAGTTTGCCCATCTTTCTCCCATGGAGCAGCGGGTAGATTTGAACTCTGTGCTTTTAGGTTGGCAGTGCAACTCCTTATCCACGAGGCAACCAGGGATAGATAACATTTAAAAAACAAAAAAACTCTGAGGATGTGCATTTACCTTAATCTATCACCTAATAAAGCAGACTTTGTCTCAAAAACATACATTTTCTGCTTATTCTCAAAGAGGCAAACTAAAAGGGAACAAATAGCTGCACCTATTGAGAATACATAAAAAATTTTTTCTGAAGAATATCAGAATATTATTTTTCCCCTTTCTGAATGCTCACCCCATCAAACTGTATGAAATTAGGTCTACTAAGTCACATTGAAAAAAATGATATATACTCCTATATCGACAGCCACAGTCTCTAGATAGCAGGTATAAATGGAGAAACTGGAATATCTTGTTGCAAGGAGCAGATCTCTAACCCCTTAAGGCATGTGTGGTAGAGTCACACTCTACGGAAACAAGGAGTTTGTAGATATGGCAAAAATATCACCTGGAACATATATAATTCCTTTCCTCCAGCTAAACATGAGAGAAGGTAGGGGGGAAGATAGACGGAGCATGCAAGCGAGCAAACTGTGTCTGTCACAGTTAAGAAATACTCAAGGAAGTACCTTTTTCTACAACATGAAGTCGAATGTGTCCTGGCTGGACAACAATGTCAGGGGGGTTTTTGACATCGCAGATATAGGTGCCATTGTGTATAAACTGCATATTCTCTATGTTAATTGATGCATCTCTCTTGTCCAGGTCGCCGACCCAGCTGATTCTGTTATTAAATGGTGGACTATTTCCGGGGTACTCGTGCCCTTGAAAGTAGTGGAAAAACTGCAATTAGAAGAAAAAAAAAAACAACAATAGCAACCAATATGAGCTATTCTCAGAGTCCTAAATTCTGTACAAGGCATGCTGTGAAAGGTTCTTTGTGGGGGAAGACTTCATGCAGAAATAAAGAATATATCATATTACAAATCTCAAGCTACAGATTCTAAACCAGACAGAGGTTTAAAAATTATGAGATTTCAGTACTGTCAGCTTTCAGTTGAAGAAACAGATTCATACCAGCAGCCAGGAAATCAAGAGACGAATTGCATTGGGAAAGTCGGCTGTCAGGGACTTCTCCAGAGTACTGAAGA